AGGGCGCTCTGACAAAATCAGCTCTGTTAGAGGGCACACTTCATATCAGTCAGATCCATTATGACAAAAAAATGAATTTGAAGGCTCATAAACTACAAGGTAAGGTAGTTCTCAATGAAAGTGAAGGAGTTGTCACCTGCGCATGCGACAGACAGCCGTGGCATGTTGTTGTTTACAAACAAGCATCTACCCATGAGCCTTTGTGTTTTTAGTATGTGTTGTTGCTGCTTGGGATTAGATTCTTGCGTGTGCACAGGTGACAAGCTCTTCGCTTTTAGTTAGGGAGAAGATTATTTTTATTTTTAGAAGATTAATTGATACAAAAAGACCCAGCAAGGTGTATATTTTTAGAATCTGTTTTTCTTGTCTGTATCTACATTCTGTGATGTATGACATGCTTACAGTTAAAATTTACTTTTTTTGAAAACAAATGAATTAACAAAGAGGTTTTTTTTTCACGTTTACTATAGTAGTTCAGTAGTCAATTGAATAAGTCTCAGCAGTTGTATTCATGCGCTCTGTTTTAAAAATTAATTGCTCAATTCCAAGTTTCAGTTTTAGTTTTAGCCGCATTGACCAACACTGAAAAATAATCTATCAAATAGTTCACTCTCACACATTTAAATAGGGCGGTAGTCATCGTGCAGTGCATGTTAACATATGTGTTGAAAAACATTGTTTTCCCATAATCCAATGCGCTTTATTAGTTTTGCCCTGGGCGCCACTTGCACTAATTACCACCAGTGATACCTTCCAAACACCAAAACAATATGCTTAATTAAAGCTTGGTAATCTCCCAGTTTGTACTAGTTGGTGTGCCCTACAGCCAAAATAGCCATCTTCGTTTAAATGAGACACATATTTCTCACGCGTGGCGAGATAACTATCGTCGTTTAAGTTTCTTTCAAGCTGTGCAAATTTGGTGTTGATCCTAACGACGCTAAACAGGCATAATTTTTTGGTTAAAGATCTTATTTTTGAAACACATAAACTCCTACAAAATATTGATGAAGTTACAGCATTTATTTCAAGCCTGTCACAGTCACATCGAAATCTGTCATAACATCTGTAGTGGCATTGAAATGTATGAAGCTATTGAAAACAAACAAAATAAAGGAAACAGCTAGTACTGTAAAATACTTTATTTTCGCTTGGAATTAATTTTCGCTATTTTCGCTGAAGGAATGATTCAGTGAAAATAAAATCCAGGAATATACTTTTTTTCCTATATTTCACATTGAACTTGTTAAATATCAATGAAAATAAATTCCATACAAAATACCAAAAAAGTCGTTTCAGCGAAAATTAATTCCAGCGAAAATAAAATATTATGACAGAACCCCACACCCTCCCTGTGGCTTCCGTTGCGTATGGAAGTAATTTTCACGAGTGATGCGGTGTATCCTGCGGCCGTACTTTCACGAGCGAAGCAAGTGAAAGTACGGCAGAATACACCTTATCTCGAGTATATTCTCAGCAAGTATATTCATGTACTCCAAGAGAAAAATATGGTACTTCTAAATATTGTTTATTTCTACCATGTTTCGAAAAATGGTACTCCTGAACGGACTACTTTGTTTGCTCTCAGGCCTCATTTGCATATGAGATACCGATTTTGATTTCAGGGACGAATCAAAATAAACTGCAGTACATATGTTATAATTTGATAAAAACAACAGATGAAAACTTCAAATTCTGTATTGCGACCATGTGTCAGACATAATGTTATGCGAATCTGTGAAACACTCATTTGCGTGTCGGATAGCAACTGATAACACACTGTAAGCTTGCTATCATTGGCTAATTCTAAGGTCACAAAACCATGAAAACAAAAACTGAATTATTAGAACAAAAATAGATTTCAGATTTCACTTAGTAAATTATCAGTATGTTTTGACTAACACAAAAACAATTTGTAAACTGA